GGGTCGCTTTAAGTAAGAATCAACTCGATACCAACAGGTCTTGCCCTCAGATGTCTTTCTTTTCTCCTCCATTGGCAGTGTCATGTTTCTGTGTTAGCCCTGTGTATCACATTTTTCAGTTATTCTGGGTTCTTTCTGTTAGTTCTTTGCTAGATAGAGTTCTGTATAATTTCAGTTTGAAGTCATCTCTACATTTCATTGAGGTCGCATATAGTCCCTAGTTCTCATTAACCAATCAAAATTAATGTTAAATAAGCCCCAAAATCAGCACATGCATCTCCATTGACATATGTTGCCTCTTGTGTATGGTACCCATCTGATACTTTGCTTGTATCTGAGGAAGCAGAATTCATTCTTACTTCTCTATATTCTTCAGTAATCTTAACACTGTAAGGCCTTTATCTTTGCCATATTTGATCTCCCTCCATCTCCTTTTTTTTAAATGGATGGAGAAATGAAATGAGAAAGAAGTTGATTGTTTTTAGGTTTAAAAAAATTTTTTTAAACATTTTCTTTTATTAGAAAATTTAAACCGTCATTCAATAATTTGTGCACAATTTGTTCCATTCACCTGCAATTTCTTTGACTTCTCATCTTTGCATTTGGATAAATGTTGCCCTTATGTTCTTGTATAGTTGATTGCTTTAAGGAGCACATTCCTCGTGGGTAATAACTATTTTATTTGTTGTTATTATTGTTGTTAAAATTCCAACTCATAGCAACCCCCTGTGTACAACAGAATGAAACACTACCTGATCCTGCACCATCCTCAAAATTGCTGCTATGCTTGAGACCTTTGTTGCTGCTACTATGTCATTCCAACTCATTGGGGGATCTCCCTCTTTTTCCCTGACCCTCCACTTTACCAAGCATGGTGTCCTTCTCCAGTGACTGGTCCCTCCTGATAATATGTATTGTTGCAGCCATTTTTTAAATTATCCTTACCAAAATTTTGCTTGCATACAACATTAATGATATTGTCCAATGATTCCTGCATTTTGTTGGGTCACCTTTCTTTGGAATGAGCACAGATATGGATCCTCTTCCAGTTAGTTGGCCAGGTAGTTGTCTTCCAAATTTCTTGGCGTAGATGAATGAGTGCCTCCAATGCTCCATCAGTTTGTTGAAAGATTTCAATTTGTATTCCATCAATTCCCAAAGTCCAGTTTTTTTTTACCAATGTCTTCAGTGCACATTGGACTTCTTCCTTAAGTACCATTGACTCTTGATCATAAGTTACCTCTTGAAATGATTGAACGTTGACCATTTCTTTTTGGTACGGTTACTTTGTGTATTCCTTCCATCTTCTTTTGATATCTGCATCTTCAGTGTTTTGCACATAGACTCCTTCAGTATTACAAGTTAAGGCTTGATTTTTTCCCTCAGTTCCCTCAGCTTGAGAAATGTAAAGTGTGTTCTTCCCTTTTGGTTTTCTAACTCCAGGTCTTTACACATTTTTTTATAATACTTGAATTTATTATGATTTTTGTCTATTATTTTATAAGCCAGTCTCTTATTTGACTTGAAAAGGTGACTTCTGAAGGTGGTTTCAGTTTCAGGCTAAAAACTATCACTGCTGGTGATAGTCTTGGGGGTTCATTCCAGTGTGTCTGGTCTTCTTTATGAATATGAGTTGTGGTCTACATTTGTCTCCCATTCTAAACGGGACCTTCTGTTGTGTCCCTGGTTAGAGCAGTTATTAGTGGTAACCACTGAACGGTCGCTACGAGTCAGAATTGACTCAACAGCACTCAACAACAACAACTGATAACTGTGATCTCAAACTAGAGGAGGTTGTGGTTTGTTTGTAGGTTTTAATAACAAAGAAAAGATGGTTGTAGTATGTAATCAGTTTTCCCTAGTCCTGTCCATGTTTTCCCATTTTTCTAAGTTGTCTACTTGTGTGTTTTTCCCAAGCTCTGTGTCATCTTAGGATTTTGGCAACAGCTGATTAGTTTATCAGTAGATCAGCTGATCTGACTGGTGAATTGGCTTCTTCTTGCCTGCTCTTCAGCATTGCTAATAGCACATAGGAAGCTGTTCGTTGTCCAGAAGAAAGTGGATCACAGATTTGGCTTTGGACCTTGTGGAGGCAAACTGTCAGTTTAACAGTGTGATTCTGGGAAGGCCAGCTGTAGAATAGTTACTAGATTTGTTCACAGTGCTATTTTTTCTAGCTTAATTTTCAATCTTTCTGAGGTTTATATAACCCTTTTTAACATCAAAATAGTTTCTAACTCTTCTCGTGCCATTAATTGTACTTCTAGTGCCTATTGATAAGTAAAGCATGCAATAATGAAAAGCTATCATGAATTGATTGTACTTTTGAATGTATTGTTGTTGGCTGCCATCATGTTTGTTCCAACTCATAGTGACTCTGTATAGCACGGGTGAGGAACCTTTTTTCTGTCAAAACTTCTAACATCATTTGCAGATGATCCAAAATTAGCAACTTAAATGTTAACCTGCTTTATTTGATCAAATATTTAACTAACTCACCAGTAATGTGATGTGTAAGGAGCTCTGGTAGCGTAGTGGTTAGGAAACGGGCTGCGAACCTTAAGGTCAGCAGTTCAAAACTACCAGCTGCTCCGCAGGAGAAAGATGAGGCTTTCTGCTACTGTAAAGATTTACAGCCTCGGAAATCCTGTACAGGGTCACTATGGGTCGGAATCGACTTGACGGCACTTAGCAACAACAGTGTGATGTGTGGCACTGCAGGGGAAGTGTAGGACTGCAGGGTCGGTGTGAACCACAAAATTGGCCGTTCAAACGTACCAGTTACTCCTCAGAAATCCTATACTGAGTAACTATGAGTAGGAGCCGACTCAATGGCCCATAATAGCAACAAATCATGTGATGGCTGGAACTGAATTTGCCTTGGCAGGGCCATACCAAATGATTTGGTGGGCCTGCCTTATATGATCCACAGACCAGACATGCCCCACCCCTGCTGTAGAGTGTTTCTGAGGTGGTAAATCTTTATGGGAGCAGAAATTCTTGACTTTCTACTGCAGAGCTACTGGTGGATTTGAACTACTGACCTTGTGGTTAGCAATCCAGTGCTTATCCTACTACAGTTCCACCAGTGCTCCTTGAATATATTAGTACTTTACTAATCCTAATTGGAATCTGTATACGTTTGAAAAATAATAGGTTTGCTTTGGGAGCTAGCCTCTTGATTTGGTATTCAACTATTACTTTGTGTGCATATGGCTACCAAAACATTCTCACAATTTTGGAGCTCTCCAGTGACAGCAGTCTTTAGATCAGGAACTTCCAATGGCATTGTTATTTTTAATCTCTTTTTGCTTTCCATACGCTCGCTTACACGCTCTCTCTTCCTCTCTCTCTCTCTCTCTCTCTCTCTCTCTCTCTCTCTCTCTCTCTCTCGTTGCTTCTCCGTTTTTTATCGTGTTTCATTTCAAAGGAATATAATAACTACTTTTCTCTTTTGGGAAAGTAAAGACTACCTACTGACTTTTTAATGGGTCAGCTTCCAATACCCCTAGTATTGATTTGTCTATTAATGCTCAGCAGCCAGCCCCACCAAGATAACAAAAACCTTCATAGTCTTTTGTTTCTGGCTTGTGAAACTCCCACTAGCTCACTAGAAAGCCAATGTGTTGCCCTTAACATTGGTCCCAAGGCCAGTCTGAAGATAATCTCATTGGTTTGAATATAATCAGAAGGAAGAATTCAGAAAATGCTCCAGTTCAAGCTCTTGGAGGTTCGTTTATTTTGTGGAGTTGGTTAAGCAGCTAATTAACTGTTCTGTCCAGCCAGTGCCCTTTGGCTTATTGTTCCTTTTATGCATTGGAATCGAAGCTGCTTGAAGCCACTTTCCTCTTTGGTGAGAAGCAGTGAAGTGTCGTGGGAAGAGCAGAGACTTCAAAGTCAGATTTTCTTTGACTCTTGCCTCAACCACTTATCTTGTGCATTTTGCTTTGCCTCTCTGCTCCTTAGTTTTGTTTTTTGTAAAGCAGAGCTAATAATAGCTCGTAAGGGTAGTTACAAGGGTTAAATGGCATAATGTGAATAACCCACATAATGACACATCAAGTCAGCTCCGACTTAAGGTGACCTTATGTATTGCAGTATGAAACGTTGTCCGGTCCTGTGCCAGCTCCATGAAGTTTGATACATTTGAACCCTTTATTGTTACTATTGTGTCGCTTCTAATTGAGGGTTCCCCTCATTTATACTGACCCTCTGCTTTACCAGACATAATGCTCTTTTTAAGGGAATGGTTTTTCCTGATGAGGTGTCAAAAATAAGCAAGATGAAGTCGTGCTATCGTCAAATTTTTACTATTGCTTTGGGATTCGTGTTCGCTAATGTACTCGTATATGTACTGTGTGATCTTTTATCACTTTTACTCAAAAAGTCGTCTGAGATTATTAGAGAACCTTAGGATGGGACATGGTAAGAACAGAGAAAAAGTGGTATAAGAACTCAGTCATCCATAAAGAAAGCACCTACACCTTTGTCTTTTCTTTGTTTAAAACTCAAATGGCCTAGGATAGAATTACATTTTTCCTTATCAAGAAGAACCTAAGCAGATTCATTTGAAGGTACCATTTGTTGCATGAGTTTGATGAGGGAATTTTTTTATTCCTTCAAGAGCTCCCCCAAACAAAAAAGTTTCTTTGCATTTTTTAGTCTAGAGAAAGAAGTTTACATGTACATAACATGATTTCAGATGCCATGTAAGATCTAAACCTAATTCCAATATCAGATGTTAGAGGTTTCAGAGATAGCATTAACTGAAGTAAAGAAAAACCCTCCTCCTTTCTGAACTGTCAATAAATGCTTGTAAATCTTGTAGTGGAGGTGCTCCGCAGATGCAATGCATCAGTGTAGCACCGATTACTGAACACGCAGTTGACTCATTTCTGTGAAATATTCTTCCAAGTGTACGAATTTTGTTTTGGGGATGTTTGTCTTCAAGGTTATTTGGCCTTAGTGACTCTTATATGTAGTCTTTTTGCTTTCTCCAGGGACAATGGCGACCGATCCAGGCACCGAGCTCCCCGCAATGCCCGGATGTCTGCACCTTCACTAGGACGTTTTGTCCCCAGGTAAGAACTGGGCAGTCAGCCACAGAGAGGGAGTCTTTATGAGAGCCTAGAATTTAGTTTTTAAACCTAGTTTCTGGTCTTTGGACAGTCCATATCTGCTGTTACTTCCTAGTGAACCTTTAGTCTAGCCCTGTACTTAAGAGACTTGGCAAGAAATGATTACAGTAAAAAGATTAAAAAGTGGCATCAAGAGTGTGCTATTTAATTGTAAGCCTTGGGAAACTGTATAAGGAAAGTCAGGGAGAAAGAACAGATTCGAGAAATGTTGATTCTTTTGTGGGCTGCTGTGGATTTTGTAGGCTCACTGGGTCCCTTACCCCTGATTTTTGAGGGTTGCTGTTAAGTACCATGGAGTCAGTTCCGACTCATAGCGACCCCTACACAGGGTTTCCGAGGCTGTAAATCTTTACGGGAGCAGAACGCCTCATCTTTCTCCCTCGGAACCACTGGTAGTTTCAAACTGCGGTTATGAGGTTAGCAGCCCAATTCGTAACCACTACGCTACCAGAGCTCCTTGATTTTTGAGAGTAGATAGATAATATATCTCCTTTGTTTTTTAGTAGTATTTAGTAGGCTTTTCACACACAATTCCTTCTTATAGGCGTTTCTTGCTGCCTGAGTACTTGCCTTATGCTGGGATTTTTCATGAACGTGGACAGCCTGGCTTGGCTACTCACTCTTCTGTTAACAGGGTCCTGGCAGGTAAGGAAATGTTTCTGTGGATGTTGAAAACTTAAAGGGGCTGGGAGGCAGATGAGGCCTCTTCCCGCTTCTCCTCTGTTGATGTGACCATGTCTTGATGACATTTGGCTGAAAATTCTGCTTTGTAGTCCAGTACTCAGTTCTAAACTTCAAGACAACAAACTGCTGGATTCAAAAAAACTAGTGGTTTCTCTTGCCCATATCCACATCATTCACATTCTAAAAAAAAAATTTTTTTTTTTAAACCAGCTACATCTTATTCCAACTATTAGGTTCTGGCCAACTTTTAATTGAATGATAAAAGTGTCTTGTTCAGGTTTCGGTTGGTGAGCTCCTCATGAGACAGATCCTGTGGTTAAATTAGGAACTTAACACACACCTCTCCAACTCTTGGACTGCCAATGCATGCAGCCTCCAGCCAATGTGCAATCTTCTGAGGAGGGAGCGGAGACCCTGGGGGCTGGCTCACAGTATTCCTGTAGGAAAGGAAATGAGCAGGATTTCCCGCCCCCCCTTTTTCTGACCAGGGTTATTTCCCAGGCATACCTCCTCCCAAACTTGTAAATTTATGTATGTGAAGGCATAAAAGATATAAAACTGAAACCACATTTGGATGTATCTTTAATAAGCATCTTTATTCAAAATGGTATTCTGTTTTGGAAAACCTGAGCCATGTGGTGGTTAAAAAGGTAAGGGGGCATCTATGTGAGACAGGGAGGGGACCTGTCAGGCTGGAAGAATGTTAGGTTTTTTTTGTGTACGATTTCTAACCAAGTTGCTGTGGTAGCTGGTTGGCCATGAGGTTTTAGCCTCCACCAAGTACTTTCTTTGTCGCATCTCCAAGTCCTAGAAACCTCAGAAACCTTTTTTATGACAGATACCAAGACTCTGTAAGCCTAGACCTGGTACAGAAGGAAACTATACCACCATTATTCTCCTAACAGTCTTATCTGAGGAAGGGCTCTGTCCTTAGATGTTAAATAGACCTGGAAGGTTCCACACCTCTCCTTGATTGGTACTTTGTGAGTTCCTGAGATCTTATCCCCAGGCAACACTACCTCACTCTTCTCCACCCTTCCTTATTTCACCATCCACCATCTACCTTACCTCCACAACCCCAGACAGTGCGTCCTGTTCCTCTGCTGCAGGCAAATAAATTGTCTGTTTCCTTGGCATTTAGCTTTTTTTTTTTTTTTAAACAGCTATGGGGTTTTATTGTTATTTATTTTCATTGTCTTCAATAACTCTTTACATTCATTTCCTGTTCCTTTATGCCAGAGAGGTCTGACTCCAAATGGCCTGATTTCATTTATGTATAGAGGAGCTGAGTTCTACAAGGCAGTTATAAAAGTGAAATCTATCAATAAAATTTCACTAGCAAAGGTTGCAGCATCTTATTAGGGAATGGAAATCTAGACTCCTAAATAACCTCACTCGAGTTAAAATAGAATATGGGTTCCATTCAGAATTAAAACTAGTTTTTCCTCATTTTCTCAAGGTACAAATTGCAGAGTACCTACTGGTCTTTTCTTTTTTTTCTTTTTATCATTCATTACTTTTATTTAAAAAGGGAGTTAGCACATGGATCAGGGTTGTATGAGAAAATAACTTCCACATTGTACAGGTGGCTCCATTTACATCTGGGCGGGCGTCTCCTTCATCGGACGCAACAACTGCACTTGTCTGATGCCCCTTTGCAGTTGCAGCCCTGGGTGCACTTGGCACAACCTGTAGGGCAACAGGAACAGCAGCTCTTCTTGCAGGAGCCAGAGGAGACACAGGCGTCACCATTGGCTCAGGAGCATTTGGGGTCCATTTCGAGCAAGGTGAGTTCACAGACAGGTGTCAAACAGGATGCTAAGGTGGTGGAAGGCGTGCTCTACTGGTCTTTTCTTAAAAGTCCTCATCATTTGTAAATAGTTCGATGTCTTTTCAGATTCTTTTTGTCACTTGGATTGCTTCTTCTCAAGAAGATTCCAAAATAAAATAACAGCAACAAAAAGGGCTAGCATTTATTGAAGACATACTATATATATATATATATATACACACACACACACTTGTTAATTGCCATCGAGTCAGTTCCGACTCAGCAATCTTGTATAGAGTTTGCAAGGAGTGGCTGGTGAGTTTGAAGCACTGTCACACCGAAATGTTTTAAATGCTTTATATAGATTTCATTTCTTTTTGTGATGTAATCCAGTTACATAGGTGCTATCAGCCAGTGGGGATACCGAAACCCAGAGAGCTAATTTGCCCAAAGTGACATAGCTATGAAGTAGGGGAGAGAGATCTGAACCCAGACACCAAGACCCAAGCTTGCGCTCTAACCCTACCTTTCTAGTCTACTTGGCAAAACTGGTTTAAAGGACAAAATGTCAAAAATCCCATTCTTTCCCCAGGACCTGAATCTAGGAGTCTTAGTGTGTGGCACTGCAGGTTAATGCACTAGACTACAAGGTCGGTTTGAACTGCAAGTTCGGTGGTTCAAACTCACTGGCTGCCCCTTAGAAACCCTACACAAAACCCAACTCGCCGGCACTTAGCAGCAGTAGCAACAACAACACAATCTAGGCAAGGGAAAGAGTTCCAGGGTACTTAGCTGACCTTCAGAGTCTGTCTTATTGGTTTACAAATGGTTCCTAGACATAGCTTTTTATGACCTAGTGGTGCTTACTGAGAAAAGTCTTCTTATGTAACAAAATAGTCTTTTTCTGACCTTACCCTCCTGGATAAAGATGTTTTGTTCTTTATTAAACTTACTTGTGATATGTAGTAGTGCTGGCACCTTAATGGTTTTCCAAATGAAAGAAAAATTGGCCTTTTAGCAGTAAGCACACCCAAGTTTTCCTGGAAAGTAACTTTCTCTTGTATGATTAGAAAGAGGTTGTTAGAGTCTCAAAACAATTAAATTCAGCAGGTTTTGTTCCACAGTTGCCACGTACCAGGCATTGTTATAGGCTCTGAAGATAATGAATGAGTAGGACAGACATGATCCCTTCGCTCCTGTAACTCAGTCTAGGTGGTTAATCATACATCAGTCTTCCTGTTTGGTTATTAGCTCCAAACATAAGTTTGCTCTTCTGGATGGTGAGTGGTTCTTTGCAAAGGTGAAGCTCAGAAATTTGGCAGGTCTAGAAGGTTGAAAACAGATACACGCTTGTAGTTTTTGGAGGTGTGACCTACTGGTAACAACTGTAGTAACTCATGAGTTACCACAAATGTTCCTCTGTTTCTAGTGGACCCTAGCTAAAAGCCATTCAGAATCATCAACAGAAATGGATTTGTTAAAAATGAAGATCCATTCTGACCACTTCCTTTCACAAGAACCCTGAGAGCAGTAATAGAAAACAGAAGCTACTGCAGAGAAGTATTTCGGTAGTCTGTTAATCTTCATCTCTTATCCCTTGTCTTCATGCCTTCTCCACAGTTCTGTAGGTTCCTGGAGATTTGTAATCATCCATCAATCTAGGTTATTCTCCCACTACCAGCACAAATTATGGGTCCATGTTTAAAGAGGTATATTTAAGGTAAAGAGGTAAAGCTACAGTTCTAGTAGGTATATTTGTGTGGAAATATGAAAAATCAGGGGAGCTCCCCCTGCTGACTTCTTAGCAGACAACGCTCATTTTGTGCTGTAAATTGATAATAAAAAAGGAAATGAAGCTAATGACTGCTTACTAGGGTCTAGGTACTGTCATTTCCATTATCTCTCTTTATCATTACAACTCTGAGGTAGGTAGTGGTATTTCCATTCTGCAGGAAAGAAAACTGAGGCTCAGAGAGGTTCTGTCACTTGTCCAATGTAACAGTTAGTGAAGGACAGACCAGAAACATTCAACCAGATCTGTCTGACTCCTAATACCTCTTTTCTGTCTTCTGTGCCATGTCTTGCTTGTGTTCAGTTAAGGAGTCTCTGCAAAAAGGATTCAAAACGTAATATTTTTTGCATGTTTTAGGTCTTATAAAATTGAAATAAGAAACCCCAGCATTTGACGGTTTCCTGGTAATTACTGGAAAATTAAAAAACTTCTGAGGGATAGTGGCCTGAGTACTGTAGGATATTAGTTATCTGTCCTACATAATCTTTTTGGCTTTCATTCTAATGAGCGTCTGCTCATAGCAGATGTAGGCCTGATGTACTTAATTTAGTATTTTGATTAATATCAATGGGAAATGTTAAAGGATTTTCTTGCTCCTAGTCACAGGTCATTAGAGCCTGGTCGAGTGTCCTGGGCAAGAGATGGCCCTGTACCCAGTCATCCTTCTATGTTTTCTTATGATTTCAACCCATTCTTTGCTTAGGAGTGTGCTGTTCGATTTCCATATTATTGAGAATTTCCTGTTACCTTCTTTGTTGATTTCTAATATGATTATGTTGTGGTGTGAAAGAATACTTTGTAAGATTTAAATTATTTTGAGTAAGTTTTTTTATGACTTAGCATATGGTCTGCCCTGAAAAACATTACATGTGTGCTGTTGTTAGTTGTAGTGTTACATAAATGCCAGATAGATCTCTTTGGTTGATCACATTGTTGAAGTTTTACGTAGCCTTACTATTTTCTGTCTGGTTGTTCTAGCCATTGAGAGTGGGTTATTGAAGTCTTCAACTATTGTTGAATTGTCTATTTCCTTTTTCAGTTTTTTCAGTTTTGGCTTCATATATATTGGTGCCTTGTTATTAGGTGCACATAAGTTTATAATTGCTATATCTTTTTTATAATAAAATGTTCCTCTGTTTCTAGTAATGCTGTTTTAGTGTGTGAAGTCTTTTTTGTTTAATGTCAGTGCAGCTGCTCTAGTTCTTATATGGTTGATGTTTGCATGACATACCTTCTTCTACCCTTTTACTTTTCATCTATTTATATCATAAAGTCTATATATAACACATATTCAGATCTTGGGGGTTTGTGTGTGTGTGTATGTGTTGTTTTTATCCTGTTTGACAGTCTTTCTCTTATTGGATTGTTTTGTCCATTTGTACTTAATGCTGTTAGTGA